CATTATACCTGCTTAGCATCACAATGTCAGAATTGTCATTGTAAGCATGCCTAAGTTGTAAGTATGTTCTCACAAAGTTGCTAGCATTACTGCAGACTGCTTTTGGGCAATTTGTTTTGTTGAATTTTAAACTGGAATTTTGGTATAAACTAGTTCCGCTGGCCAAAGCTGGGCACAATTATTGTGCAAGATTTGTAATGAACACGTAACAAGGCAACAATGGCAACCATGCATTACAAAGTAGTGGGACCTTTGTGTATAAAGGAACATGGGAGAATCTTGACTTTTTTCGTTCATGTGAAAAATGCTTTCTTGAGTGGTGGAAAAATGCAAAAGAAAGGAAGGAGAATGTGAGAAGTCATCCCAGAGAAATCTATTTCTGCCCTCATCCCCTGCAGCCATATGAAGAAGACACAGAGGAGTCTTCCTATAAGTGAATCTAATATTCCTAAGGTCACACAAACCACATCATAACACTGATGGCCTCATTTCGGCTCCATTAGCAAATTATGTATCACTGTGGGTCAATGTGGCCAGTGAGGAAACATCTTGCGGATTCCCATTGATATTGACGTAGAGGCCAGTCATGTGCGACTACAATAAAGTGCATGTGTGCTTGTAAATACTTGCGGAAAACAGCACTGTGCACACATCCACTTAGTGTTTGTAGTGGGCATGTGTGGGCGTGTAGTCTCATCTGTGTGTGTCTGTGTGCACATGTTTTTTTGAGGGTGGGGGTTTAGAGCAAGGATGTGAGGTCATAGTGGTTTGCTGCTTGCGGTGTAATTAGAGGTAACTCAAATGAAAACAGGAATGATTTCATTCAGGGAATGCCACACTGTTAATGGCCCCTTCACGTCAGAATTTAATGTGTGCATGTATATTGTTTGTCTGCATCTTCTTTTCCACGTGCATACATTTGATTGTGCATTTATGTAAGTGGCTTTGCATTCATGTTTTTTGTTGCATGTGACCTTGGATATAATGTGTGTGTGCACAGCATATAACCCGATCTGTTATGTTGCAGCACTGTACTAGCAGTGGTGTTCAGCTGTTTCTCACCAGTTAGCATGTTTAAAACAGCCTTATTGGATTGTTTCCTATCCTATCCCACTAAAGGGATCTGAGGTCTGATTTAAATCATTTCTATTCCCATAGAAGACTCGTTCACGCTCTCTCTCTCATCCCCTCATCATCAGGTCCTCATTTAATCATTGCAATTGACTTAGGCCTTCCAGGGCTGAGAGAGAGATTAGTGTGAATGTGTGTGTGTGTGTGTGTGTGCACGCCTATACATCTGATGTGACCAGGGCCATATCTGGGTTTTTCTCATTGAGCTTGTGCAATAGGTGGCCTTAAAACCCTAACTTTAGCCTATAGCTTTCTCAGTTGGCTTTGTGAAACGGAACAGGTCACAGTGGCGCTGGTAACAGCACTGGGCTGCTCTGGGCCTGTAAACACCTCCCCACTTATTTATCTAAACAGATGAGTAATCAGATTATCTCTAATCATATCAGAGAAAAGCTCACGCCGTCTAACCTCATGCAATCCTTCCTCAGTATTACCAAACAGGCTAGATCTTACAGAGCTAGATCTCTCATACAATCGTAAGACATTACAGACACAGTAAGATCTAGCCTGTAATTGTGTAACAGCGACTTTCGGTCTATGTAAGCTTTGTTCAAGGGCAGACGGCGCGTCTCTTGTTTGCCTTCGAGCCTGGACACGGCTGAGAGGGAGGGAATAACTGAGTGTAGGATTATCAGGTGACTCTCCCAGCCTAGATCCATTCCCAGAGGTCATCAGGTCAGCTTGATGACCTGACTTCTCACTGTAAAGCCTGCTCAGCTGTTTGCCGGATCAAAAGTTGGGACAGACAAATAGCAGTGGTTCATAGGAGGAAATGAGGTTATGAATGCTTGGATAGGATCTTTAGTTTGTCTGAGTTTCAGGGACTGCATCGATCACGTGCGTCCAGTCTAGCCTGGTGTGAATCATCATAACAACAAACCTAACCAGCAGACAGGAATTGTGCGTACGGTCCTGAGTGGCTGAGCCAGCAGAGAGACAGTGGTTTCCTCTACAAAAAAAAAAAAATCCCTTCTCTCGCTCTTGAGAACATCAGAAAATAGACCAACTCTCTAGCCTCATCCATGCCTCCATTTACGAGGAAGATGCTCCCTCTCCTCTCACCTGTCCTCTGGAGACGTGGCCGTGTTAAAAAAGAAAACCACGGAAAATGTTGAAAAGGCGGAGGGGGCGAAAGGGAGTGATAAAAAGGAGAGTGAAAAGAAGAATAGTCGCCTCTTTCTTCCTCCTTCAATCCTCCTATAAAATGGCCTTGGTGCTCTTTTTTTTCCCCCTGTGAAGAGTAATTGCTCTGTGTGTGTGTGTGTGTGTGTGTGTGTGTTTAATCGTGTGTGTGTGTGTGGGGGTTTTTGTGTAAAGGAAAAGGGGTGTGTGTGTGGCTGTGTGTGTGTGTGTGTGTGTGTGTGTGTGTGTGTGTGTGTGTGTGTGTGTGTGTGTGTGTGTGTGTGTGCTCTAGGAGGGGGATCTGGCCGACAGATTGAGAGCAGCTTGTTAGAAAGAGGAACAATGAGGCCACAGCCCCTCTCCTATCTTCTTTTTTTTCTTCCTTTCCTGTGTTCCCTTTCTCTCTTTCCCTCTTCTCTGTTATTTCCTTCTGCTTTCAAAACAGATTCCTCTCTTCTTCTCTGTATATGTCTTGACTTTTTCACTTGCCAGCCTCGCCTGTATTATCTGTCCATTTTTACATTCCATCCATCTCATCTATTTTCCTTCAACTTATCCTCCCTATTGAACTCCCCTCTCTCACACTTTCCTTTCCTCCTCATTCCTCAGTGTTTGCTTTCCTCTCTTCTTACAATATTTCACCTGCTAAAACACCTTCCACATATCGTTTCTGTCACTTTCTCGCTGTCGATACATTTCACACTGTCACGTATCTACACACTCGTGGACATGCATGTATAGACCGTAGGTGCTGGCACGCTCCTCTGATTTCGTCATGCCAACATGCAAATGCTTTGAACATCTTTTATACACCCCCACGGCATTCTTTTTGGCATTGGAGTTGAGTGATGTTGTTATTAACTTGTTCATTAAACATCATTAATGCGTGACAGACATCGTTGATTTGTAGGACATCAACATGTGAGATGTGTGTTGTTGTTTTTTTAATCCAAATTAATCATTACTGCTGTCATTCAGGGCTACCCACATGTGTGCCTACTGTCTTTGAACTCAGCTTTTAGGCTGTTTTGTTGAGCTGTGTAGTCATTTTATACTCATTTTTAGCAGTGTGTAAATATTTGCTCAACATAAATTCACAAAATCCTCTTTATACATAGGGTTTTCTGACGTTTTGAGCCAGGTAGTTTTAATATGATATAGCTCCACCGAAGTATCTTCAGTGAGAAAGCAAAGGTAAATGTTGCAGAACTATGTGGGAAATACTTTAAATAAGAGCTGACCAAGATGGGAGGAAAACTCTGCTCTACTATTTCACTGTCCAGTCTGGTTAGCCTTAGTTATTCACAAAAAAGGCTATGTCCAGTGCTGTAATGAACATACCTGCAAGGGGGAATGTCTAATAGCTATATATCTTGACTCATATTTATTTCAAGTTGCACAAGGAAGTTGAGCATATTATAATAAATACCCTGTGAGTCAGACAAAGGCAAGCGAAGCTATATGACTATAAGTTAAGGATGCACATTAGAGAAAAATGAGTTGCCCTCCTGGGGAAAATGTTACAGCAGAGCAAACTCAGAAAGTGGGTGGCACAGGTTGGCAAGTTCTATCTGCAATCTGCTGGAGTTTGAGAAAAGTGCTGCTGGATTTTAAGAGTGTCCACTCCGCATAAAGCTCTTACACAAATCTTGAGAATTGTTATCAGCAAATGTTACAAATCTGTAAATAGAAACTTAATGTGTATGTTACAGGCTTATTTTCAGAACTCTTGGTTGTAAAATGTTAGGTAATACTCTCTGCTATCAGGGGTTGTTATCAGATCAAGCAATCCAGCTTGGCATAGAATCTAACTTTGTCCTCCCACAGTCTTCCCTTTTGCTTCACACCTCCCATTGCAGACTGAAAAAAGAGCAACACGTGTTTGAATCCGTGACAAGACATTGGCCTCTAGTAAACTAACGGAACCATATTAAAACTAGTTGGTGCTTTCCTATAAGAAAATTACAGTTTATTACTCACTTAACCTCACCGTCATACTTGACCATCGTGAAGCTTGTGAACCGGCTGTCCCCGAGCCCCTGTTGGCCTCTGCATTCTCTTATTTTGACAGAGAGCCAAATAGACTGACAGACGGACAGCCCCCACCACCCTCCTAGTCCAGCTCTCAGCCCCCTTTTGTCTGCCTGTCCTGCAGCATTACCCCTATGGTTGTAGTCTCCTAATTGCTCTGAACCCTGCAGAGATGGGAGACTAAGCACAAGGTTGGGAGGGGTCCTCAGCTATGATGGGGTCCCCCCCCCCACACACACTTTTCTCCCTCCCACTGCTCAATTTCTTTCTTTATTTCTTTCTTCTACTCTGAATAGCAATTAAACAAAGTGTGCTCATTTGGCTAAGAAGCTCTTGTACCTCAGCATCCTCCCGTCCACGTCTTGATGACACATTCACATCTGGCTCTGCTGGCTGAATTAGACAGTCCCTCACAATAGTTACACGCAGGCAAACTGTTGTGCATGTACAGAAATGGTGCTCATGTAGATCTTTGCTTCCTGTGGTTAATTTTTGTAATGTTCTTTGTAAATGCATCTCATTAGTTTGAAGAATCTGTTTCAGTGAAGCTTTTCTTTTACACAGTTTACACTTATTACACAGATAATTACTCAGCTAATGGCCTTAGAATATTTACACAATTTTGAAATCAGATGTCAAGAATTATTGCAACTATCCTGTACACGCAAGTCTTTTCTCAGTCAAATCCCTACGTTAACCATCTCATCTCTTCTCAGGCACCTCTGCAGCCACCCCCGGGGTCCTCTGCCTCAGTGGTGGCAGCCGCAGCAGCAGCCGCAGCGGCATCGGGGACGCCCCAATCACTGAAACTAACCTACCCAGAAACTTTGGACCGCATCAAGGAGGAGTTTCAGTTCCTCCAGACCCAATACCACAGGTATTTTTTTTTTTTGCACATTGTGTGCTGGTGTTTCCGCTCAACTTCCCTTCTGTGTTACTAGGAATATAGACTAGAAAGAGAACAGTGTTTTAAGAAATGCAAGTGTGTTTGTGGGGGCGTGTTGCTTCAGGTACGGGTGAAATGATTTGATACGTTCCAGGAAGGCCGGTTTGGGTAACAGATCTGTGAGTTTTAGGGCGGATCAGATGCTACAACAGTGCACAGCAGTTTATAGTTCTCTGTCTCAGCACAAGACTCTGGAAAGTCACTATGACAGTCGTTTCTATGCTGCGTATGGACAACTTAGAGATAGAATTACCCCCTTCACATTACAAAGTAATGTTCCAGGAATGTGCACTTGTATACATTTGACCAATACGGTGTGTTGCCAGATAACCTTGCGTTGAGTTGTTGCAGAAGTTGAGCCAACAACTTCAACTTTTTTTTGCCAGGTGACAAATTTGTTTGTTATGTCAGGCTATGTGATGACAAACGTTCTTACAACGGACTAATAGGGGTATATGCTGGCTACTCTTTTTGCATTACTGTATGGTGTGCTTGATGTGTAGGAATGTGCCCAGAATGCCTTATTTATTATTTATTTTATTTTTTTTATGTGGGCTGGTTGTCCCACCCTCTCCCTTCTCTGTTCTCGTGGCACACCTTCACAGGGTCCCCACCCCCTCGCTCTTCTCTTCTCAGCCTGCTTTGAATTAGCCAGCAAGAATCTCTCCTCCCTCCCTTTCTGTCCCACTTCAAACTTCTTTTGTACGGCCCTTGTCCACAGCCCCTCTAACCCCTGTGGCTACTGCTGCTTCCCTGTACACACAAATGCTTGTGTGTATGTGTGTGTGTGTGTGTGTGTCCTTATCCCTCTGTCTCTTCTGATTATCACAAGCTCAACAGTCCAGTCATTCTAGACCAAGTGTTGGTTGGAGTCTCACATACAAGTGCTTTTGTAGGAAAAAGGACTGAAAGATGGGACCTAAAATCTGTATCAAGATTTATTATCACCTTTACTACAATAATAAGTATTTTTCCAAACATTAGTGCATGTTGCCTCACTTCTTATGTTTGTCCTGTTTAATTACAGTATGACTAGTTAAAGATTAGTGTATTAGTGTTTTTTCATCTATTTGCAGAATAATTCTACCCAGTGCCAGCAAATAACTATAGATATGTGTGTTTCCTGTTGGTTATTGTCCATTCCCACATACCTGCATTTTTCCAGCACAACAGCAGAGGCTGTGATACTTGCCACCTCCTTTGCTTCGTATCATTTTTGATATATTTGGTCATCTGGATGCACAGTAAATTGTGTCTCAGTGTGGGAGAATGTCTTGTGTACTCTGTGAATCAGAGGACAACCCAAGGTTATTATACAGTGACCATTTTTGAAAAAGCCCCCCCAAATAAATATTTGCAGTGCTCCTCTGAATCACCTTGAATCAGCACTGACCCAGACAAATCAAGCCATTCAGTGAACATGAGTCACCCCTGGATCTGTTGGTTGAGACAGTGTGATCAGCTCCACTGGCAGCTGTTCAACGTTACACCTTGTGTTACAAAACACCTGGAGCATTGCCCTCTTGCCAAGCACTGGTACTGAGAACTAGGGAGCAGGATAAACAATAAATGAATGACGAGATTAAGAACACGATTGGGAGCAAGAACGAGCTTGTGATTCCATCTGCATCTCCCAGTTTCGATACCGTGGCGTGCTGTTTTAGCAGGCCTGGTTCAGGTTTCAAGGAAGGATTTGTTTAACTTCTCCAACAGCCTGTTGTGAGTACAAAAACACAGCAGATTAACACACTGCATATGACCACAGCTGAAAACTGATACTGTAACCATAACTTATAACAATAGCAACAGTCATTATTGGAACAGATTGTGTTATCAGAAGTCTTCACGTATTTGTCGGATGTATGTTTAACCTGGCAGGTAGGTATGAATCTGTTCATTGGAAGAACTGGTGGTTTCGCCATACAAACTTCAGTAAACTAGAGCTGCTGTTCATGTTGTTTTAGAGACACAGCAACACTGCTGCCATTTCAAACAAATTATTTTTGAGAAGGACTTTCAGTGGTAGTGTGATGGTATGATAATAGTTTTATTATTATCATCAAGTCAAGTGAATTCAATTTATAAAGCCCAAAATCACAAATGACAAATTTGCCTCAGAAGTCAAATAAAAAAAAATTAATACATTTGTAATTTTAAGGTTTTGTTCTTCACAATTGAAGAGTTTTGTCTGATGTAAAACAATAGAAAAATTTATTAAGCCTTTAATTGCATTGAACATCAGTTTTATTATGCAACTTTACATGAATCCTCCTGTACACTACTGAAAAAACCCTACCTTCATATATAATGAATAAATGAATTGCAACGCATCATATCCCATTGAATCAAATTATGTTACATCGCACTGTATTGGAATAACGGTGAATCGTATCATTGCATTGGTACTTGCTTCATATGTTTAATATATCAGGTCGTTGTGTGGGGATGCACATCCCTACTTTCCAAATGTAAACCTAAAAAAAGTCAGTCTGCCAGCAGTTTGGAAAGGTCTGAACAGATAGCGGTCAGTAGGATTAACAGTGGCCTTGTTTAGTCCTACAGCAGATCCACATCTGATTGCAGGCACCTTCATGTAATCAGACCCACTTGTACACTATTCACACTGCTGGGAAAACATGACCTGGACGCCCACAGAGCCAGACACACATCAGTGACCCATTCAGACAGACACCCAATCTGACGCATGTGCTTAACACACTTACACACATGTATGAGCCTCCCTAATTATCCTCACACACACAAATAGATGTTGTCCAGAAATAGCAGGGCTTAGTTGTGTATTTTGTCTGCAGAGAAGGTGGCTGGAATCTGATAGATGTTGGATTAGACGGCAGGAAAGAGACTGAGGGAAGGGATTAGCCCTGATGAGATGCAACTTTGTGTGTGTGGGTGGCATGATGCGTTTCTAAATTTGTGTGTCACTTGTTGGTTTTGGTGGCATGTGCGTAGTTGGTATGAAGGGATGAGAAAGATTACTAAGGAAGCTAAAGAAAGGGAAGGGTTAATTGATTAAAGGGTCATTGGTTGGTCAGCTGTTGACTTTTGTTGTGTGTGTTAACTATCCAAACAGGCTGTAATCAGCAGACTGAAGGGAGATGGGAGGAGCTGCTGACACAGGGCTCTCATTACTGTAATTCTCTTTCTATAAACACACAGCCATATATCAGTCATAATGGTGTGTGTGTGTGTGTGTGTGTGTGTGTGTGTGTGTGTGTGTGTGTGTGTGTGTGTGTGTGTGTGTGTGTGTGTGTGTGTGTGTGTGTGTGTGTGTGTGTGTGTGTGTGTGTGTGTGTGTGTGTGTGTGTGTGTGTGTGTGTAACATTTATGAAAGAACAGCGAGTCTGGCAGCACAGTGGGCTACAGTTGGCCTGCTATTGTGCGACGAGATCCCACTTCTGCTTTGTGTGCGTGTGTAGGAAGTGTACTTGCTCTTGTACACACCCTTGAGAGATGATGAAAGAGTACACAGGCGAGTTGGGTGGGTCCCTCGTGTGCATGTGTGAATGTGTTTGAAGAGAGAGAGAGGCAGAAGCTGAAGGTTTCTCCAGTGGAGCAGAGAGGAAGGGTTGATCAATAGTTAATGTGATGTAAAGTGAACAGTCACATACCTGGAGGCTGGCGGGCTAAATGGTCCTGACACTGTAAAGGCAAGACACTGGTGCAGTCACTACATGGCTCCCATCTGTGTGTGTGTGTGTTCTTTACTGGCTGGTAGCTTTGTATTTGTATAGCACTTGTGTCACTTATGATGCTTGTTTGCCAAGACAACGATGGGCTCCAGACTGCAGCACAAGTGATGATGGAACCAGACTTGGTAGCAGCATGTCAGAATTAATAAGCATCAGTGGGTTTAGTGCCGGGTGATTTGCCTGGAAATGTTTTCACATTCAAAATGTACATGTTTTCTGATAATGATGTTTATCAGGATGAATGCTATGTTAGATGTTAAGTGTAGCATTGAAACACTAAAGTCTTTTTATTGATTAGTCAATTGACAGAAAATTATTTGGTAATTATTTGTCAGTCATTAAGGAAAATGTAAAACATTCTCTGGTTCCAGCTTCTCAAATGTGGCGATTTGCTGCTTTTTCCTCCTTTGGGTCTTAAGCTGTTTGTTTGGAGTAGTTATTCGGTCTATAAAAGGTCAGAAAATTATGAAAAAAGTCCACCATAATTTTTCAAAGCCCAAGCTGACATATTTAGATAATTTTTTAGGTCCATGGTGCAAAATGATTCATCAAGATTTAAAAAAAACCTCACCACCACTATGTCTAGTCCTGTGTGCTTGGAGATGTCATATCTGTCACCATAAAAGGTTCATATCATAGGATAACAGTGTTTAAGAGACCAGTCATATTCCATGACATTAAACCTTCATGTTAGAAAAGCCTCACTTCAGTGTCTCTACTCTGCAGTGTGTATTTGTTTAGACCACACACACAGCTGGCTGCTGGAAGGAAATTAACATTTTTAACTTGAATGGCTTTTTTGGGTTGTAGCTTGTCCAGTGTTTGTAGAGAAAGCACTTTAATTTTGCTTTACAGAAAAGTGATGTAGCTGATTATTTTTCATCATTATTATTGTTTTATCAGCTTTCACCAACTAATTTAATGATGCTCTGTTTCTTCAGTCCTGCTTGCGATGGTGCTTTTTGTTCAAAGAAAATTGATGTTCTCTTGAATTATCTCTGAGATATCACAGTTAAAAATGTCCTCAAACAACCAAAATCAACCGTGTTTTATAGGAAAGAAAAAATTGCAAATGTTTTTGTTCCTTTTTAGTAAAATAACCAATGAGGGAATAGCCTAGTGAAAGTAAAAGTATTGTGGAGAAAAACAAACACTGGAAAGGAAAAAGTTGACATTTTTACAATACCCAGTAGCCTGTTTCAAACATGGAGACTAAAAAGGCAGTCGGCACATTTCTACAAAGTGCAGGATCTTAATTAGATGCTTCACTCTCTGTAGACTCTGTGTGTGTGTGTGTGTGTGTGTGTGTGTGTGTGTGTGTGTGTGTGTGTGTGTGTGTGTGTGTGTGTGTGTGTGTGTGTGTGTGTGTGTGTGTGTGTGTGTGTGTGTGTGTGTGTGTGTGTGTGTGTGTGTGTGTGTGTGTGTGTGTGTGTGTATTTAGCAGGTTTGTGTCTATGTGTGGGTGTGTACATACTGCATATGTGCTTACGAGTGAGCTTTGTTTCGTGTGCCTACATGCATGCAGTATATGCTGTAAGGTAGGAAGTAAGAGGACCTTTAATGTACAAGCACACACCTCTAATGCTTCCATGCTGTGTGTGTGTGTGTGTGTGTGTTCAGTATAGTGCAGCACTGACAGAGCTGTCTGAAGGCTGGCAGGCTGCAGATTTGTAGCGCATTCGGCTGATCATCTTATCTCCTGTCACCGCCAGTGAAAGATTGGAGGAACGGAGCCCACCGTGACACACACACACACACACACACACACACACACACACACACACACACACAGTCATATCTCCTTTTTTCTTTCTCTCTTGCTTGCACTCAATCTTGTTTTTTTTCCCTCTGTGTTGCCGTGTCTTTCTCTCCATCCTCCAAACCTCCTCTCCCTCCCTCTCTCTCAGTAAATGGTGCTGAGCCAAACACTAATTATTACAGGCAATCATTTCGACATGAAATACCCACTTCCTGCTCACCGCTCTCCTCCCCACTCTCCCTCATTTTCTTCCCTCCTCCAACTCTTTTATGCTCCTACAGTCACATAATGGCACACACACACATACACACACACAGTAATTTCATTCCTTGAAGTCTATTTTGTGGGGAATGGTTATTCCTGAGTACGACCTTGGGGTCTTTACTGTAAGCACAAGAAGTGTCCATCTGCGTATGTGTGTATGTGTATATGTGTATATGTTTGCTCTGCAACCGTGTAATGCTATTGTGCAGTTTCTGGAGTGCTTTGCCAAAAACAGAGAACTGATTTTACGGCTATAGAGACATTGATTTTTTCCCCCCTTGGCTCTCTTTAGTGGTATTTAATAGCATAGCTGACTGCTGCTCATTTGCTAAAACAAAATCTGATGAGCCAAGGTGGATTTGTGTATGTGGCATGTGGGTGGCATGTGGGTCACAAATGGTCATTTTCAAGCACCTTGAACCACACAAATAACTTGACCTGCTGCGTTCAGTGTAAGAAAGCATGCATCCATGAACCATTAGTTGTCAAACATCATGCAAGGAGCTCAAATTATCAGTTGATTCAATGATTAGCTGATTGACAGAAAGTTGATCAAATTGTTCCTTGTGTATTTTTTGGTCATTTTATGGCTTTATTACATGTGGTTAGAGAGAGAATGATGGGTAATTGCATGCAACTAAGGTCGCCCATCTGGACTTGAACCAACCTGGGACAATTTAGATAATAATAATAATAATAATAATAATAATAATAATAATAATTAATTGTTTAAGTTGTTTATCTTTAGCTTTTCTCTGCTTTTTCTAACTAACTAGCTAGTCCAACTATTGGTTGGACAGAAAAAGAAATTTGAAGCCATTACCATGGGCTCTAGAAGATTTTGATGTACACTGTCACTTGTTTTTGAAATTTTATAGACGAAAGGATTAAGTAATAAAATAATCACCAATTATCAAAAAAATAATGAATAATAAATGAAACTAATAGTAGTTACAGTCCTAATCTCACATTTTAAACAGGAATTTCACAGCAAAAACTCTTGGTGTGTGGTGTGTCATTGCTCTGGTTCTCCAAGCTCATCCCAAGTTTATGTTGTGATGCACACGCTAGCAGCCGTGCACACAAACACACACACAGTCGCATTAGCACTGTGAGTGACTTCTGCTGAGAGGCAATTCCACTGTAATAAAATCTATAGGGTGGTGGGGGGGGTTTAATCCTCACTACCCCCTCCACCCTCTCCCACTCTTCATCCTGCTTCTCTCCCTCTCTCCCTCGTCCCTCTTCTCCTCAACTGGCTGGCAATGATAAATTAGTCAATTATGTGTGTGTGTGCACGCGTTGCTGGAGAAAGGGAGCGGATGGGGCTGTTATTACCTGTTGCAGCTGGGGGTAATGTTGCGGTATTAATCATATTCTAATTTTCCTCCACCAAACGACCCCACCCCCACCCCCACCTCCAACGTCCCCCCCCAACCCCCCATCAATCTATCTGCACCCGCAAAGAAGCCGGCATAAACTGCCGAAGGCCCAAAGTATACTACCTTTCTGGGGTGGGAGGGGAGGGGAGAAGGGGTGAGAGAGATGGAGAGTTGCAGAGTAACAAGGGAGGTGTTCGTGTGTTTGGACCTGAGATACAAACACATTTAGAAATGGAAGTGGGTGTGTTTGCGTGTCTGTGTGTGTTTTGCAAGTCCATCCATTGGCATTATCCAGTTTGAGAAGACACCCGGGACTGGTTTGGGTGTGAGGAGAGCCAGGCAGACACAGAGGACAAACAGAAATATAGGACGCATGGGAGAGGTCTTTGGCTGCTATCACTTCAAAGATGTGTGTGTTTATGAGAGAGAGCTTTCATGCCAGGCCTCTCTGTAGCTGTGGTAGCCTGACATAGCAGGTCATGTCCTGAACATAAGAAAAGAGAAATGATTTTTAAAACAGAAATAGGCAGATCTATTACATATTCAGACAGAATTGCCCCCTTTTGACCCACTTAAAGCAGAAGCTTCGACTTCAGTGAAACTTGGCAAAGTGTGCTGTCGAAGGTGAAAGAAGGGGGGCAGCGGTCAGACAGACTGAGAGACAGACGGACTTGGCTGGTAATTGGGAAAGCAACAAAATGAGGAGGAGGGGAGGACACATGGATAGATTGAAAATTGTCCAGAGAGGGAGAGAGAGAAAGAGAAAAGGGAGAGGGACACCTTGGATGTGCCTGCCTGCAGTCTTGGCTGGGTTTCAGCCTCTGAGCGTGACTTCGTCTATTTCTGCTCTGCTCTGAGGTGATAATGGGCTGTCAGCACCCCAGTCACCCTGCTCCCTCCTCCCCCACTGAGTGTGAGAGAGAAGGAGAGGGGGGGGGTTGACAGAGAGAGTGAATGAGCAGGGAGTAATTTGTTGTCATGTTGCTAATTGCATTGTGTATTTTTATTTGGGATATGATACACATCAAAACATAATTTTTTTCCACTCTTCTCTCTGGTGCAGTTTGAAACTGGAATGTGAGAAACTGGCTACGGAGAAGACGGAGATCCAGAGACACTACGTTATGGTGAGAGACGCACGCACGCACGCACGCACGCATGCACGCACCCACGCATGCACGCACGCACGTACGCAGACACACAGACACACACAGAGGCTGTGTCTCTCCGCATTTACTCACAACAAGTGCAGTGCCAAGTCCGCTGAATCCCTTTCATCTGCTAACAGCTGCCAAACAACACCCACCAAAAACCACACACAAGACCACACACACACACACATATTATAGGACTGCAGAATAAACAGCACTTACATGGGCGTGCAATCTTGTGCTTGTGTATGTGAGTGTTTCTTTTTGTGTCTGAGATATGTAGTCCTGAACTATACTGCTGATGTGTCCTCATCAGTCCAGGGTTGTGTATACATAGAACCTCCATACTCTTTTGGAACCGGCCAATTCTATACAGTCTATATACCAACCCGCCAAGTTTATAGCACAGAGTATCAAACTCAAGTGCTCAGCTGATGTCCAGTGTCTGGCCTGAGTCATACTCTTATTTATTCTTTGATTACATTGTTGATTTAAATCAAGCAAAATCCTAGTTGGGCTGCTTGTCTTGAGATAACAATTAACATCTCTCTCGAGATCTTCGTATTCTTTTGTTAAATGAAACAAAGGCTTTAATTGAAAAAAACTCATTATATTTTGTCAAAAAGTCTAATTTTGGGATCCATGTCAAAACTTGGGTATTATATCGGTACTAGTATTGACGAAATTTCAAACAATGCTCATCTTCGAGTGTCTGTCACAGCTCCTTAACTTTTGTGCGTGAAGGAGCCTGTATGCATACCTTTTTCTGATTTTAATTCAAGCCAAAATAGAGGAAAGTAGTAGTAGTAGTAATAGTAGTAATAGTAGTAATAGTAATAATAATACCACCATTCTTAAAGGTGTGTGAAACTGTGGTTGGTTTCACACTGTTCCTCACCTCTGGCAGTAATGTGCCAAGAAACGCAGCAATGCGCCAATAAAGGCAGTGAAGAAGACTGCAAGCTAGTAAACAAGGATGTATACAATACAGGATTTAAAATGTTCAGAAAACCAGCTTTGCTTTGTTTTGGAGGAAATGCATTGAACACAATAGTGTTTGTACAGTGCAGCCCAGTGGAAATCAAAACTTGAACCCTGGCAGAATTTCTGCTGATCTCTACAAGCGCTGAATCAATTGGTTGATCAACAGAAAATTAATTGGCAACACTTTTTTATAATGGATTAATTGTTTAAGTCATACTTTTACCAAAAGATCCCTAATTCTAATCGTTTCAGATTCCTGAATGTAAATATTTGCTGGTTTTCTTTGTATTCTGTGAGTAAAGTTAATAACTTTGTGCTTTAGACTGTGGCTTGCACAACATTTCAGTGTCATCTGGGCTCTAGTAGAAGTTGTGTTGGATATTTGTTTTATAATATTATGCCATTCCAAAGCAGTTCAGTTAATGAATACAATAACTGAGTAATTGATAGTGACAATAGTCATTGCAGCACTATACCTACTGAGTTCTGCAGACTTATAGTTGTTTAACTGCTATCTCACTGGTTGTCAGTCATTCCCTCCCACACTGCCCTGTTAGAGGGATCACACAGTGTGCTGTCTGATGTTGCTGCATAGAAGATTGAAGCATTTGCATCTCATCACTGAAGGCAGAGAAAGTTATAGAAGTAACCATGGTTTGAATCCCAGAATGTTGAAAATCTCAGCATTTATAAAAATGACTAGCAGCACTTTCTCTTCTATCACACAGAAGCATTAATGTGCTTTATTCAGAGGCAGCACTCTGACTGTGTGACTGTAAAGGATACATGATCAGCAGATCTCTTTTCTTTATAAAGAAAAGGCTAAAACTATTTGTCTGTCTTTGTTTTTTAAGTCTGCAAACCTTGATTTACCTGTGATCAGAGCTACACACAACCACAGCTGACTGAGTGAAGGCTGCCCAGAACCCGCTGTGCCAAAAAGGAGCTATGTGGCAATCTTGGCACAGAGTGGGGACTTGTGGGGGGGATTGAAGTTTTAGTGATTGGGGGGGGTTAGCTGGCGTCAAGCACAGACCAGGTCTCCTTTCCTGGCTGATGATTTGGGTTTGGATGAGTTTGGATGTTGCTAAGCAACAGGCAAAACTTGGCACACCAACTGCCAAGCAGATCTGCCAGCTGCCAGGAAAGGCGTCTTTTATGGTGGCACACACACAGAGAAAGAACACACACACACGCAGGGGAAACATGCACATAAAGCACTTATATACACACGCCTACATAGTTGCAGGGTTGTGCTACAAACACACACACACACACACACACACCTGCTCATGCGCGCACACACACACACACACACACACACACACACACACACACACA